GGCGAGTTGTGCCGACGGCGACGACGTCGAGAGCGGTCGATGTGGCAAGCGTGCGACGAGGTCCACGTCGAGCGCGCGCTCGGGTCCGCGCGGCCGAGCACGTTTTCAAGAGAGGGCGGGAAATCTGCCGCTGACCTCTCGCTCGCCGAACCCGGATCCCTCCGAGGTAGCAAACCTCCTTACACCCCCGCCACCAGCTCGAACCCCAACAACCGCGCCTCCATCCACGCGATCATCAGCCGGATGAACTTCCCGCCGGACTTGGCGTCGTTCGCGCAGAGGCCGTGGCCCATGCCGTCGAGGTCGTCGACGAGCGTCTTGTCCGTCGACGCGGCGGCGGCCATGAGGAGCTCCGCGCCGCGAAAGTCCGCGAACTCGTCGTCGCGCGCGTGCAGCAGCAGCAGCGGCTGCGCGATGCGCCCGGCCCGCGCGACCGCGCGCTCGCCGAAGAGCAGGCCGTGCTCCGCGTAGCGCGTCCGGAGCTTGCCCGTGTGGAAGATGGGCGGGCCGACGGCCGCGAGCTCCGCCTCCCGCTCGAGGTCCTCGACGGACTTTTCGCCGAGGGGCAGCCAGGGCACCTGCGGCGGCGCGGCGCGCGCGGCGTCGAGCGGGGCGGAGACGGCGCGCGCGGCTCGCCGGCGGACGAACCGCGCGGCGTCGCTGTTCTAGCTCGCCGGACGAACGGCGCGGCGTCGCCGCGCTGGCTCGTCGACGCCGGAGCGCGCGAGCCGCGACAGGATGCCGAGCAGAGGCAGCAGAATCTTGTTGCTCTTCAGGGCCTTGAGCTTCTCGAACGAGACCTGCGAGGGCACGAACGAGGTCCGGGGCGGGTCTCCTCTCCTCCGACGCCGCCCTCGACGGCCGGGCAGAAATAGACGCACAGGTCGAAGAGCTCGGGCCGGCGCTCGGCGGCGTTCAGGCCCACGCAGGCGCCCATGGAGCCACCCAGGCTCACGACCCGCAGGCCCGGATGCCGCTGGCGCACGAGGAACGCCACCTGCAGCGCCTCGTCGACCTACCAAGTGCGTCGGTGACAATTTTTCATCGTTTCCCAGGTCAAAATTGTCACTGCCAGGACGCTGTCGTCGACGTAGTCCTCGTAGTCGAAGCACAGCGACGGCCAGCCTCGCGCGGCGCCCTCGCTGAAGCCCTGGCCGTTGTAGTCCCAGCTGTAGACGAGGAAGCCCGCCTACCAGGGTCGGATTTCTTCTCGGTGCGAGAATCGCGCGAAAACAGCACTCGACTCCGAACCCCGCGTCGCAGAGCGCCTCGACCCAGGAGCCGCGGTAGCCGAGCCGCGCCGCGAGCTGGCCGCGCGCGCAGAGGTCGACGTCCGCGCAGGCGTCCAAACCCGGGCAGTAGAGCACGACGGCCTTGGGCGCGACGCCCGGCGGCGGCCGCCACGAGTAGACCATGATCTTGAGGCCCAGCGACGACACGAAGCTCTCCGGCGGGTGCTGCGGGCCGTCGAGGCAGTAGCGCTCGAAGTCCTCGACGACCTGCAGCTCCTGGCGCGGCAAGGCCCGGTCGAAGCCCATGGCGTCGCGGTAGCGCACGGCGGCGTAGTACTTGCGACCGAGCGCCCACGTGACGAGGCACGCGAAGGCGAGCCACGCCACCAGGCAGATCGCGAAGGCGAGCGCGAGCATCGTGCGGGGCAGCGTCGCGTTTCAAGAACAAGTTCAAGAATGCAGAATCATGGTGAGGTGCACCACAAGCTATGGGTCGATGATCTGGCTCGACGCCTGAACTCTGCTGAGAGCATGCACTGGAGCGTCGTCCTCCTGCTGCTGCTCGCGCTCGTCATCTTCCGCCGGCGCATCCGCCTCGCCTGGCGCGTCGCGACGAAACCGCGCCACGACCAGGACCGCTGCGCTTTCTGCGGCGCGCCCGACGCGTCCGCGTCGTCTCAGGGCGAGCTCGCGCTGAACCTGCGCCGGTCCGGCCGCCTCGCGTCGCCCGAGGCGTTCTACGCGTTCTCCCGCGTGGACCGTGCCGACTTCCTCGACGACGCCGCCGTCCGCGCGCGCGTCGCCTACCTCGACGAGGCCGTGCCGCTGGGCCGGAGCGGCGCGCAGATGTCGGCGCCGCACATCCACGCGGCGGCGCTGGACCTCGTCGTCGCGCACTCGAAAAACCCGCGCACGGCGCTCGACGTCGGGGGCGGCTCCGGCGTCTTCGGCGCGCTGCTCGCGGAGGCGCTCGACGGCTGCGCGGTCACGTGCCTCGAGCACGCGGCGGAGCTCGTCGACGACGCGCGACAGGGCCTGCGGCGCCACGCGCGGCGCCGCGGCGCGGCGACGGCGACGGCGACGCGGGGCTGCGCGCTCGGCTTCCGGCCCCGGGAGCGCTACGACGTCGTCCACTGCGGCGCGGCGCTCGAGGACCCGCGCGAGCTCGCGGCGCGGCTCGTCGCGCCGGGCGGTGTCCTCGTCGCGCCCGTGGGGCCCGAGGACGCGCCCCAGCGGCTCTGCGCCGTCGCGGCCGACGGCCGCGTGCTCGAGGCGGGGCTCCGCGTCCTCTTCGTGCCGCTCGTGCCCGAGGCGGCGCAGCGGGAGCGCGCGCGCGACTGGCCCGCCGTGCGCGCCGCGTGCCTCGCGAGCGCGCGCGCGGCGCCGCTGCCGCCGCCGCCGCCGCCGCGGCCCCTCGGCCAGCTGCCCACGGACTGCGCCTGCTACTTCTCGCGCCACTACTTCGTCAAGGGCCACGGCCATCTGGACTACGACGGCGACGACGCGTTCCTCCCCGACGCGGTCGTCGCGCCGCTGCGGGCCGAGCGGTCGCGGCGCCTCGGCGCGGACCGCGCGGGGTTCCGGCGGCGGCGCCTCGTCGCCGAGGACCTCGTCGACTGGCGGCCGGCGGAAGTTTCTCTCCCGCCGCTCGGAAGCTGCGACGCGCGCGCGGCGGAGCCCTGCGTCGTCTTCCGCCTCTTCGGCGCGGAAGACGCCGCGGCGCTCGCGCGGAGCCTCGCCGCGTTCCCGGCGCTCGCGCGGCGGCGCGCCGACGCGCTGGGCCAACCTCTCTCATCCTACGTCTCCCGCCCGAACACGATGAACGAGCGGGGCTTCCTCCTCGACGAGGCGGGCCTGACGCCGACGGTCACGGAGCCGCTCTTCGCCTACGCGGCGCGGCTCGCGCGGCGCCTCTACCCGGACCTCGAGGCCCTGGACCACCACCGGTGTTTTACGGTGGAGTACGCGGTCGGCGGCGACGTGGACCTCGCGGCCCACTTCGACAACAGCGAGGTCACGCTCAACGTCTGCCTGAGCGCCTCGGCGGACCGCGTCGGCGGCGACCTCGTCTTCGGCGACGGCACGGCCGTCGCGCACCGGCCGGGCTACGCCGTCTTCCACCGCGGGTCGGCCGTCCACGCCGCGACGGAGCTCTCGTCGGGGAGCCGCACGAACCTCGTCCTCTGGTGCCGCTCGACGCGCCAGCGGCGGAGGACGGGCTGCCCGCTCTGCTCGGAGACGCGGAACCTCGTATTTTAGGAGCGGAGACGTGGTACTTTCGTGGCAGTTCTTACGTCGAACGCCGCGGGGTGTCTCGCCCTGGGAGAGGAGAGCCGAGGCGTCTCGTCCGGGGGAGTTCCGCGGCCCCCG